CACATCAACATGACTCAGTGAATCCGATGCCGTAACACATTGACATATCAGTATGACTCAGTTTAACAATGTCCTGGTGTAGAAGGTTATCATCTTCAGCAGGTGTTTATTTTGAATATTGCAAATAACGTCACAAGACGCACGATAATCATTTGTAATCTCAGATTCTATTGGTCAGTACATAATTTCGTGTGCTAAGAGATTGGCTGATCACATCACATCAGTCGACATATAATGGCAACATTGGTATATTGGATAACGACAGGTGCAAACGACAGTAAGCGGACGAAACAGTTTTATTTACATGTAAACATACGGCTTTGTATGTTATTTGTTGTACGCTGACATAATTTATCAAAAGGAAGTATGGATCTATTGTATGTATGTTTAGCTGTTCTCGTTTTGCCCAGTCAAGTCAACGGTAAGTTATTGTTTGTTCGTTCGGGGTTTTTTTTCATTTACAAACTGAGTACTGTAAAACATCGTTTTATTGCTACAAGGGGTAAAGAGAAAATAAAGGTGTTAGTCTTATAGCGTTTAGCGAAGTATCCAAAATTACCAGTATTTAGACATGTAACACAAACAAAATAATTGAGTCCAATGTTTAAAACAAATGTATTGTTTCGTGAACATAAATACAAATAGTACCCAGTGACCGATATATAGTTATCGTCAACAGTGTTGCAGGCATCGAAGGCAAACTTCGACTGTGTTCAAAACGCTTAAAGTCTCTGGATAAACATTACCAGAAGAAACTGAATTCACGAGGGTGTGAACACTACATAATCGGCGTCATTGAGACGGTTGTTTACTTGGCTGTGAATACTATATAATCGGCGTCATTGAGACGGTTGTTTACTTGGCTGTGAGTACAATAAAATTGGCGTCATTGAGACGGTTGTTTACTTGGCTGTGAGTACTATATAATCGGCGTCACTGAGACGGTTGTTTACTTGGCTGTGAGTACCATATAATCGGCGTCATTGAGACGGTTGTTTGCCTAATTATGTTACATCTTGTAATTGTAAGGAGCAAGCATGTGCATGATGGTAACTTGTTCCTGGAATGTCAATTGCGCTGAAGATTAGGGAATACTTACATTTAGATATTAAATAACTTTTAATTTGCAATGTAAAGATGGGTATTAAACGAAACATACATACCAATGTGAACTCAAACTGAAAGAAAAATGACAAAAATATTGTTCTGATCAACTTTTAAAAAGCAATAACAACAAGAAAAAGAACTTCTGTATCTTACCCAACAATCTCAGTTAAGAAATTACCAGTTAAAACAACACCAATGTTGTCACATGTTGCTGTTTTAAGATATGATCACATGATAGTTGTTCTGATGTAACAGGATGGTATTTCGGTTCTTTTTTGTTAGTGAAGCTTGTTCCTGTTTCACCTATGTAAGGAGGTTGGTCATCGTAGAATATGTAGACTGCTACTCTGTGTATCAACAGGTTTCTACAGAGACCGGTCTATGTCAGGACAGACTACGACAGGCTGTCAACCGGTGTACACGTGCCCAGCATTCTGTCTGAAGAGCAAAGGGAAGTGTTTCGTGTGTCAAAGTGGAGGTAAGGACTAACCACACTGAAGTGTTTCGTGTGTCAAAGTGGAGGTAAGGACTAACCACACTGAAGTGTTTCGTGTGTCAATGTGGAGGTAAGGACTAACCACACTGAAGTGTTTCGTGTGTCAATGTGGAGGTAAGGACTAACCACACTGAAGTGTTTCGTGTGTCAATGTGGAGGTAAGGACTAACCACACTGAAGTGTTTCGTGTGTCAATGTGGAGGTAAGGACTAACCACACTGAAGTGTTTCGTGTGTCAATGTGGAGGTAAGGACTAACCACACTGAAGTGTTTCGTGTGTCAATGTGGAGGTAAGGACTAACCACACTGAAGTGTTTCGTGTGTCAATGTGGAGGTAAGGACTAACCACACTGAAGTGTTTCGTGTGTCAATGTGGAGGTAAGGACTAACCACACTGAAGTGTTTCGTGTGTCAATGTGGAGGTAAGGACTAACCACACTGAAGTGTTTCGTGTGTCAATGTGGAGGTAAGGACTAACCACACTGAAGTGTTTCGTGTGTCAATGTGGAGGTAAGGACTAACCACACTGAAGTGTTTCGTGTGTCAATGTGGAGGTAAGGACTAACCACACTGAAGTGTTTCGTGTGTCAATGTGGAGGTAAGGACTAACCACACTGAAGTGTTTCGTGTGTCAATGTGGAGGTAAGGACTAACCACACTGAAGTGTTTCGTGTGTCAATGTGGAGGTAAGGACTAACCACACTGAAGTGTTTCGTGTGTCAATGTGGAGGTAAGGACTAACCACACTGAAGTGTTTCGTGTGTCAATGTGGAGGTAAGGACTAACCACACTGAAGTGTTTCGTGTGTCAATGTGGAGGTAAGGACTAACCACACTGAAGTGTTTCGTGTGTCAATGTGGAGGTAAGGACTAACCACACTGAAGTGTTTCGTGTGTCAATGTGGAGGTAAGGACTAACCACACTGAAGTGTTTCGTGTGTCAATGTGGAGGTAAGGACTAACCACACTGAAGTGTTTCGTGTGTCAATGTGGAGGTAAGGACTAACCACACTGAAGTGTTTCGTGTGTCAATGTGGAGGTAAGGACTAACCACACTGAAGTGTTTCGTGTGTCAATGTGGAGGTAAGGACTAACCACACTGAAGTGTTTCGTGTGTCAATGTGGAGGTAAGGACTAACCACACTGAAGTGTTTCGTGTGTCAATGTGGAGGTAAGGACTAACCACACTGAAGTGTTTCGTGTGTCAATGTGGAGGTAAGGACTAACCACACTGAAGTGTTTCGTGTGTCAATGTGGAGGTAAGGACTAACCACACTGAAGTGTTTCGTGTGTCAATGTGGAGGTAAGGACTAACCACACTGAAGTGTTTCGTGTGTCAAAGTGGAGGTAAGGACTAACCACACTGAAGTGTTTCGTGTGTCAATGTGGAGGTAAGGACTAACCACAATACCGAGTCACCCACTCATATCATCCTGATCGTTAACCAATTTATCCATTTCTATTTCCTGTTAAACCATTTCCTTCTTTTAGGTTTTGGCATGTTTTCAATGTATTATTGTATAAGTCATTTTGTACTGATTTAGGATCATAGCTTGTTGAACAGCCTAGTCGCTTGTAACCACCGTGTCAGATCTCGAAAATCTCTTAAACATAGACATATTTCCTAGTAACGTCTAGACATTGTTAACATATCTACTTCTACAGTGTATGAGCTACTGTTCACCTTGCGTGAACTTCAATTCACACTAAAATAATAAAAACTTAATGCACAATTCGGAAATCACGTCTCAAAAATAGATATCACACTGACAGGTGTTTATGAAAATTGATTCTTAAACTGAAAAGCGGGTGTGTTACTTAAATAATCGTATCCGTCTTTTCTTCCACCTGTAAAACATTCGACACATGCATTAATACTCTAATCCTTTTTATTTATTTTTTGAGAAATATTATCTGTTTCATTTTATTTTTATTTTACTATTATTGATACAATTTTGCTGCTGCTATTTGAAAAATAGTTTTTTTTATCAAATGTAGGATTATTGAGACGAATGATTTAATCAGCATTTGGGGGTTTTCAGAATCAATGAAGAAGTTTATGAAATCAGCAGGTGATCAGATGAAAAATGATTATCAGACAATTTTTCAAACCGGAAGTCAGTTTACAAATGGACTAATGAATTCCGGTAGCCATCAGTCGTCTGTATCCGGACGTAAGATGACGCCCATCAGCACGATTGGTATGATGGGCGCAAACAAATGGAAAAGTTCCGGAAGTACGTCAACAGGGTCGTCTCAGTGGATGGGTGAAAGTAGTACTATGACTGGCATAGGAAAACAGTGGTCAGGAGGTCAAGGGTCAATAGGCGTGGTCAACCAAGGCAAATTTGCACCAATGCTGACGTCATATCTGCAACCAGACTTTCAAGGTATGCTCTTAATACACTGAAGTTTTAGATGGGCAGTTTAACAGATATTACGATGTGCGCAAGTTATATGAAGCAGGTACAATGCTTTCAGTTGTAATTACGTAGATAAATAGATACTTGATAATTTCAACACACAGATATTACTTTCATCACTGGTAGCATTATTTGAATTAACTGCATGAAAAGCTCGATCACTTCTTATTTGATAATCATTTTCCCCACTATATCAATCTATATCAATTAGTGTCAATCACAAGAATTTTTATAAGTATCACTCTCTAAGAGTTTTACAGACCTATATCCGGAGTGATGCCTTGGCGATGTCCTCAGCTCGACCGCGCATGCCCAAGTAGATGTTGGAAGATCGACGGTTTTACAGGGTGTATGCACTGCGCATGTCCATGTGAGTGACAATAACAACAATAGGTTTGACAAATCATAAAAATTAGATTTGTTAAAATATATTAACATTTGAAAAGTCTTACAAAATCGATTTGTAAATAGGGTTTTACATTTGACAGGTCAAACGCTCATCAGATTTTGACCAATGTGTCCGTGCTCAGTTGCCATGCATTGTCTTAATTATTCAAATTATAATTTAAGTTCTATGGAAAGGAATTTTCTTATATAATTTTATATCAAATTATTTTTGTATAATTCGGAAGACTCGTAATACGTGTCAATCTTAAGAAGAACATTTCATGTACAAAATCGAAACTAGTTATTGGAAACAAGATACTTTGTATTTTGATGTTTTTTAATGTTAGCATACTTGTTTGCAAATACAGTGAAGACAACAGTGAAAACACCGACAAGTCAATACTCCACCGACCAAACACCGACACGTTAACACTCCACCGACCAAACACCGACACGTCAACACTCCACCGACCAAACACCGACACGTCAACACTCCACCGACCAAACACCGACACGTCAACACTCCACCGACCAAACACCGACACGTCAACACTCCACCGACCAAACACCGACACGTCAACACTCCACCGACCAAACACCGACACGTCAACACTCCACCGACCAAACACCGACACGTCAACACTCCACCGACCAAACACCGACACGTCAACACTCCACCGACCAAACACCGACACGTCAACACTCCACCGACCAAACACCGACACGTCAACACTCCACCGACCAAACACCGACACGTCAACACTCCACCGACCAAACACCGACACGTCAACACTCCACCGACCAAACACCGACACGTCAACACTCCACCGACCAAACACCGACACGTCAACACTCCACCGACCAAACACCGACACGTCAACACTCCACCGACCAAACACCGACACGTCAATACTCCACCGACCAAACACCGACACGTCAACACTCCACCGACCAAACACCGACACGTCAACACTCCACCGACCAAACACCGACACGTCAACACTCCACCGACCAAACACCGACACGTCAACACTCCACCGACCAAACACCGACACGTCAACACTCCACCGACCAAACACCGACACGTCAACACTCCACCGACCAAACACCGACACGTCAACACTCCACCGACCAAACACCGACACGTCAACACTCCACCGACCAAACACCGACACGTCAACACTCCACCGACCAAACACCGACACGTCAACACTCCACCGACCAAACACCGACACGTCAACACTCCACCGACCAAACACCGACACGTCAACACTCCACCGACCAAACACCGACACGTCAACACTCCACCGACCAAACACCGACACGTCAACACTCCACCGACCAAACACCGACACGTCAACACTCCACCGACCAAACACCGACACGTCAACACTCCACCGACCAAACACCGACACGTCAACACTCCACCGACCAAACACCGACACGTCAACACTCCACCGACCAAACACCGACACGTCAACACTCCACCGACCAAACACCGACACGTCAACACTCCACCGACCAAACACCGACACGTCAACACTCCACCGACCAAACACCGACACGTCAACACTCCACCGACCAAACACCGACACGTCAACACTCCACCGACCAAACACCGACACGTCAACACTCCACCGACCAAACACCGACACGTCAACACTCCACCGACCAAACACCGACACGTCAACACTCCACCGACCAAACACCGACACGTCAACACTCCACCGACCAAACACCGACACGTCAACACTCCACCGACCAAACACCGACACGTCAACACTCCACCGACCAAACACCGACACGTCAACACTCCACCGACCAAACACCGACACGTCAACACTCCACCGACCAAACACCGACACGTCAACACTCCACCGACCAAACACCGACACGTCAACACTCCACCGACCAAACACCGACACGTCAACACTCCACCGACCAAACACCGACACGTCAACACTCCACCGACCAAACACCGACACGTCAACACTCCACCGACCAAACACCGACACGTCAACACTCCACCGACCAAACACCGACACGTCAACACTCCACCGACCAAACACCGACACGTCAACACTCCACCGACCAAACACCGACACGTCAACACTCCACCGACCAAACACCGACACGTCAACACTCCACCGACCAAACACCGACACGTCAACACTCCACCGACCAAACACCGACACGTCAACACTCCACCGACCAAACACCGACACGTCAACACTCCACCGACCAAACACCGACACGTCAACACTCCACCGACCAAACACCGACACGTCAACACTCCACCGACCAAACACCGACACGTCAACACTCCACCGACCAAACACCGACACGTCAACACTCCACCGACCAAACACCGACACGTCAACACTCCACCGACCAAACACCGACACGTCAACACTCCACCGACCAAACACCGACACGTCAACACTCCACCGACCAAACACCGACACGTCAACACTCCACCGACCAAACACCGACACGTCAACACTCCACCGACCAAACACCGACACGTCAACACTCCACCGACCAAACACCGACACGTCAACACTCCACCGACCAAACACCGACACGTCAACACTCCACCGACCAAACACCGACACGTCAACACTCCACCGACCAAACACCGACACGTCAACACTCCACCGACCAAACACCGACACGTCAACACTCCACCGACCAAACACCGACACGTCAACACTCCACCGACCAAACACCGACACGTCAACACTCCACCAACCAAACACCGACAAGTCAATACTCTACCGACCAAACACCGACACGTCAACACTCCACCGACCAAACACCGACACGTCAACACCCCACCGACGAATCACCGACACGTCAACATTTCACCGACCAAACACCGACACGTCAACACCCCACCGACGAATCACCGACACGTCAACATTTCACCGACCAAACACCGACACGTCAACACTCCACCGGTCAAACAAAGTCGAGTTTGTCAACTCACTCACCTTTGTCGACTAGAAAACAGAAATTTCCAAACGCAACACCTACCTACTTAGGACATTCAGTATCGCCTGTCCCAATGATAACACCTCTGATATCGGAAGAAACAACGTTATCTCAAAAGACGGGTATAAATTTCAGTTCTCCATCAGTTATCTCCTCTTCTCCAGCAACGCCTCTATTTACTCCCATGGAAACACAAACCTCTTCTCCATCGACCACAGCACTGGCAACAGAAATAGCTGCAAACAGTACGAACACGTCACAGACAGCAGCGGCGAAATCCTCAACGACCATGACTACGTCACCATTAACATTTATAACGTCATCTACTTCAACGCCTCAAACGACATTAACGTTGTCATTTACAACAGCTACGTCACAACCGGAAGTGATGTCGTCCTCGCCATCGTCACTGACAACAGTACCTTCGTCACCTATGACCACAACTTCGAACCTTCCCAACTCAGAACATATTAAAATCAAACTGTTGATTAGAGAAGGGAGTACAGGTTTACCGAACAGTATTGAAGAGAAGCAATTTGCAACAAGCGATGGCACAATAGCCGAAAAAAGCCTGAAAACACAAGAACCCATACAAATTAATACCATCAAAACAACAATTCCCGCTCCAGATACCATAACGCCAGAATTGGTAACAGAAGAAACAGTCTCCTGGATGAAATTTGTAATCACACCAAAACCTCAACGCTTGCAGACTTTCTCAACAAAATCGCTTAGTACTAATTCAGAACCTACCACTAAAACAGGACGACAGATGTTGCAGTCACACAAACATGAGGAATTACAACACGAAATTTACCCCGAAACATCAACACCAGCGTCTCAAACAACGCAACACTCGGGGAGAAACAATCACCAATATGACAACATTCTCAAATTCTTTCGATATATTGATTCTGGTGAAAAAGAGAAAGCTATAGCATTACCTCAACAAATTCTTGCAGAAGGAAAGCAGTCCAGCACTCCTGTAACAAAGCCTAACAATTCGTCAAAGGAAGCTGCAAAATCTAGTGAGAACACTGGTCGAACCACTGACACCATCACGGGCGTGACATACCTCAGTGAACCCGACATTCAACCCACTGTACCAAGTGAGGGACACAACGGTAACACAACGAACCTAACTGGTATACCATTGACTAACCTAACTGGTATACCATTGACTAACCTAACTGGTATACCATTGACTAACGTGACTGGTACTACAAGGCAACCAAGCTCATCCGGTACAAATGACGAGTTTTTTTCAACCTCTCTAATACTTCGTTTTCAAGATACTTTTTCTCTCCTGATACGCCCGATTTTTTTCATACGCATGGCATGTGGTAGGGGCAGTGTGTACTTCCGATATATACAGTTATTCTGAGACTAGCACAAAACAATATGCAAAGATACCGGTAGGCGGATCCTGACGGCATGTCTGACAACAAAGTACTCTTTTTGATGATTATAACATTTAGCCATTTTTATTGAAATTACTAATTACTAAGAACTGTTTTACCAGTTATGAGGAAGATGATTGTATGCTGGCGGAGGTATAACAGAATTTTACCCCGTAATTGTAGCACTAGAACTTATATAACTGTACAATTGTGTCAGTATAACGTTAAATATGATTCTCTAAGTAAACTATGGCTAACTTTGTAATTGTGGCAGTATAACGTTAAATAGAATTATCTAAGTAAACTATGGCTAACTTTGTAATTGTGGTGGTATAACGTTAAACAGAATTATCTAAGTAAACTATGGCTAACTTTGCAATTTTGTCAGTATAACGTTAAACAGAATTATCTAAGTAAACTATGGCTAACTTTGTAATTGTGGCAGTATAACGTTAAATAGAATTCTCTAAGTAAACTATGGCTAACTTTGTAATTGTGCCAGTATAACGTTATATAAATTATCTAAGTAAATTATGGCTAACTTTGTAATTGTGTCAGTATAACGTTAAATAGAATTATCTAAGTAAACTATGGCTAACTTTGTTATTATGGCAGTTTAACGGTAAATATAATTTTCTAAGTAAACTATGGCTAACTTTGTAAATGTGTCAGTATAACGTTAAATAGAATTATCTAAGTAAACTATGGCTAACTTTGTGATTGTGGCAGGATAACGAAGAATAAATGTAAAATGTTGTTTAAACGAAAGTTACTGTAAGTGTGTAGTTGTTTTATTTTCCCAGAATCTCTATTTTGCCCTGAAACAAAACACGATTGTGACATAAACTGCCATGTCCCTGACACGTTGAGAGAATGCACACTTTGTATGTGTGATAGCATCGACAGTTCGCCCCATTTGTCATCACAGGAGACATCTATGGCGACTCTTGGGAATCCAGAAACAGATTCAGGTACAGTTAGTTTCAATGTTCTCTTTGTTTTATTCTCTAGTGCACTATTGGTGAGATAATCTGGAGTTATTGATCCAACGTCATTATTTACATGAACTGTTTACACAGTTATAAAAATGTTTACTTATCAATAAAGACATCTACATGCAATGTAAAATATATAAGTCGAGAAGGTTATCAATATAACAAACATTACCTTTTGATTGTGACGTCAGATGTCACCGCGTACCCGATCACTCTAGTTTAATCACCAGTTGTATACTGAGTATTGTAGTAGTATGTTTAAACATTTGTATTGCGAAACATGCCCTATTTTATTATTAGCTTCGCACAGTAACTACATATAGCCAGGTCCCTAACACACACACACTGGGAGATGTACCTCAACATATTCCGTCTTTGCGTATTGCAGAGTTATCTTCTCTTGGGAGCAGGTGTTGATTGTTACGTCATTGGTTTGTGTGAGAAAATTACGTCGTTTTCTCAAAAGTTGATGACGTTACTCTCACAAACAAGTGACGTAACAATCAATACCTGTTCCCAAGAGAAGATAACTCTGCAATACGCAAAGACGGAATATTTGCATCGATTATTTATTTCATAATGAAACATTTCATACTTTATTTAAATCACATACTTATTAATACGGCCTGTATTTAGCCCGTTGAAGTTTGAATATATTGCAAATATTGTACATAATTAATTTTGTATATTAACCCTTTTGGATAAACTTTGTCTTACAGTTCCTATGGTCTTGATGTAATTGTTTTCTATGTCCATAAATTGCCCTAATTTTATGGTTTTCTCTTTTTAAGTATCGTGTTGTTGTAGCTTGATACAAATTGTACATATTTTATTCTTTATCGTTTACTCCATACCGTTTATATTTTAAAATGCCGAGGGGGAAGATAATCGACAGTATGATTATTTCTCTCATTTCTTGGTGATATAAATGTTTGAATGAACTTGTATTATATTTTACTCAATACTCTATTCATCTCTATCATATAACCAGTCATTTGGAAATATAGATCGATCATAGTAAATGACCTATAATAGACGTATACCTGTTCTGTATTCTGAGGTCTTGTATTAACTCTTGTGATTGACATTTTGTAGTTTTAGAGATTTATTTCCATATTGCGATGCCCTTTGTTTCGTTGTTAAATCTGCAGACCTATCCCAGAGATTTATTTCTGTATTGCGATGCCCTTTGTTTCGTTGTTAAGTCTGCAGACCTATCCCAGAGATTTATTTCTATATTGCGATGCCCTTGTTTCGTTGTTAAGTCTGCAGACCTATCCCAGACGACTGTGCGGATGAGTGCTTGTTCCTTGATGGTGATAATTACTTTTGTCCCGTGTGTAGGTGTGAACAATTGCAACATGTCCACGGCGGAAATATTCCAGATACCACTCTGTCATCAGGTATAGTGACTTCAATAATATTATAACATGTATACAATATTGGTTCCTTAAAATGGGGAATAGGTCAGCGAGACAATATTCAAGTGATCGAATTCACGGCCGAAAAAAAAAATGTATTTTTGAACCCACCACTTACTTGTATGATTGAAATACTGAAATCAATAGAAACAGCAGTTTTAATACCGCTTACCAAGAGCTTGAGGTTGCTTCCACGACAGATAGATTCCAAGATCTTTTGATGTTTCTTCCACGACAGGTAAGTACCAAGAGCTTGAGGTTGCTTCCACGACAGATAGATTCCAAGATCTTTTGATGTTTCTTCCAGGGCAGATATATTCCAAGATCTTTTGATGTTTCTTCCACGTCCGGTAGATTCCAAGATCTTTTGATGTTTCTTTCACGACAGGTAAGTACCAAGAGCTTGAGGTCGCTTCCACGACAGATATATTACAAGATCTTTTGAGGTTGCTTCCACGACAGATATATTCCAAGATATTATGATGTTACTTCCATGATAGGTAAGTACCAAGAGCTTGAGGTCGCTTCCACGACAGATATATTCCAAGATCTTTTGATGTTACTTTCACGACAGGTAGATTCCAAGATCTTTTGATGTTTCTTCCAGGGCAGATATATTCCAAGATCTTTTGATGTTTCTTCCACGGCAGGTAGATTCCAAGATCTTTTGATGTTACTTTCACGACAGGTAGATTCCAAGATCTTTTGATGTTTCTTTCACGACAGGTAAGTACCAAGAGCTTGAGGTTGCTTCCACGGCAGATATATTCCAAGATCTTTTGATGTTTCTTCCACGACAGATATATTCCAAGATCTTTGGAGGTTGCTTCCACGACAGATATATTCCAAGATCTTTTGATGTTACTTTCAAGACAGGTAGATTCCAAGATCTTTTGATGTTACTTCCACGACAGGTAGATTCCAAGATCTTTTGATGTTACTTCCCCGACAGGTACATTCCAAGATCTTTTGATGTTTCTTCCACGACAGTTAGATTCCAAGATCTTTTGATGTTACTTCCACGACAGGTAGATTACAAGATCTTTTGATGTTACTTTCACGGCAGGTAAGTACCAAGAGCTTGAGGTTGCTTCCACGGCAGATATATTCCAAGATCTTTTGATGTTTCTTCCACGACAGATATATTCCAAGATCTTTGGAGGTTGCTTCCACGACAGATATATTCCAAGCTCTTTTGATGTTACTTTCAAGACAGGTAGATTCCAAGATCTTTTGATGTTACTTCCACGACAGGTAGATTACAAGATCTTTTGATGTTTCTTCCACGACAGGTAAGTACCAAGATTGTCTGATGTTACTTTCACGACAGGTAAGTACCAAGAGCTTGAGGTTGCTTCCACGGCAGATATATTCCAAGATCTTTTGATGTTTCTTCCACGGCAGGTAGATTCCAAGATCTTTTGATGTTTCTTCCACGTCAGGTAGATTCCAAGATCTTTTGATGTTTCTTCCACGACTGGTAGATTTCAAGATCTTTTGATGTTACTTTCACGACAGGTAAGTACCAAGAGCTTGAGGTTGCTTCCACGGCAGATATATTCCAAGATCTTTTGATGTTTCTTCCACGACAGTTAGATTCCAAGATCTTTTGATGTTACTTCCACGACAGGTAGATTACAAGATCTTTTGATGTTTCTTCCACGACAGGTAGATTCCAAGATCTTTTGATGTTACTTCCACGACAGGTAGATTCCAAGATCTTTTGTTGTTTCTTCCACGACAGGTAGATTCCAAGATCTTTTGATGTTACTTCCACGGCAGGTAGATTCCAAGATCTTTTGATGTTTCTTCCACGACAGTTAGATTCCAAGATCTTTTGATGTTACTTCCACGACAGGTAGATTACAAGATCTTTTGATGTTTCTTCCACGACAGGTAGATTCCAAGATTGTCTGATTTTACTTTCATGACAGGTAGCTACCCATATTTTTTTATGTCGCTTTCATGTCAGGTAGGTACCAAGATATTTTGATGTCGCTTTCATATCAGGTAGCTACACAGATGTTGTTTGTCCCTTTCATGTCAGGTAAGTACCAAGATCGTTTTTGTTGCTTCCACGACATGTCATGGGTTATTGGTCAAAGGTTAGTTAGAACCAAGTCGATTTTAGTCCTATTTGGAATCAATACATGCCTTTGATGATTGATCGAGAAGTAGGTGAGAACTAAGCCTTTATTCCAGTTCATTTATTTAACATTTGCCTCATGTACATGTTCATATTTAGATGAGAACTGAACACGGGTGCTTGTTAAGAACCCCAGCCCCACTACATCAGGACGAACACATGCGATTCCCTATCGTTTACCCCCTGTACATTCAGTAGTCTACCTCTAAGTTTATTTTGGATATGTTTGTAGTGTGAATTGACCATCGTTCTACCATTGAAATGTTTCAAATGGACAGTTACATTTTGGAAGTATTACTGGAATAATAAAGTTAGACAAAAGTGTTATAGCTATCAAGTGTATACAATCTGTCGATAAAATATTCTGTTCGAGAAAATAATGACGACAGACGGAAATTAACGATGATTACTGTGGTTTGTTTACTAGTATCCCATTAATTACATATGATTATATAGCTGTCTTCTGTTCGTTGGTTAGCTCCAGTAGAAATCGACGATAACCAGGCCCAGCGCTGCGCCCCTCTCCACGAAGGCTGCCCAGCTCAATGTGTGACGTTTGATCCTGAATGGTGTGTCACGTGCTCTTGTGATGTCGGTTCCTTTTCGGGTATGTACATAACTGATGATTTTATTTATAAAATTATATATATATATATAGATATTGCTTATGCTTTATTACTTGACGGCCAAACTTTATTGATATACGGTGTTATACTGTATCCTATATTCAGCAATATACCATTTAATTATATTCCAGATATGTGCCCACCGTTGGATAAGAACTGTCCCCCTGGCTGTGAAGGATTCAATACAGATACGTTTTGTCCAAGTTGTAACTGTGAGAATTAAAATGAAATCAACACTAAACGAAGTTTTATTTATATCTTTATATCTGTGCTCACATTAAACGTCAAGCTTTGTTAATTTCGTGATTAATTAATGCCAAAATTTCAAATAAAAATATGGAAACGAATGTGCTTTACTAAAATAAAATTGTAAAGGCATCATTCTGTGTTGCAAAACACGAGTACCTCTATATGTTGTTGAACAATTGTGAAATGTAATTTTTTTTATTTTATTTTTAGTATCACTTATATAAACAAAATTGACAAAATTTTCGTATGATGTAGGAAATGGTCTTTTTGTTATGGTGGACCTTCTGTGTGGAGTTTCTATTTGTTTAGCCTGTGTTCCTTAACACCGTATCTATAGCACAAATGTAATTATTTTAATTTAGTCTTAATCTGATAATTTCAAAACCGGAGTATGCAAATTTCGTTTGGAATGATAATTATAAAAGAAATATCAACAATGTAAGTATTTTATTTTAGTCTAACAACGTTATATATAAATGAGTCAAGTACGGTCAATATCTAAGCGTGCAAAGAATATTATAGAAAATAATATGACACGGCGTCAACTCAGCAGGATTTCAAAGGCATATCATGGTGTTTCTATTAAACCGCGTACTGTTTTATAAACCGCCTATTTAAACATGTACTTAATTACAGTCTTTAATTAAGGTACAAGTTGACAGTGCACAATTTTAATAAGCAAAGAAGAATTCGACTTTAAAGCTGTGGTAATCTTTCCAGCAAATAGTCGATAAACAGTCTAATATAACTTTTAATATTCCCTGACATGGACTTACTGCCATTGGCAAGATATTTATCTTTCATTGTGATACTGCGCAGTTACGATTCCTATAACTAAATATTGGTAAAGTGAAGATAGTGGATCGGTCGCGAGTTAGCTCCTCCAACAAAAGGAACGTATTTATATTTCAAATTCTCAAATGGAAGATTTAGTATTCTTCATTCTGTGTTTGAAGATGGAGATATGAAGAATACATCAATGGAAATATATATTTTTATAATAGAGTGCGCGTGGTAGCAACTGACTCTAACTTAAGGGTACTGTTATCTGTACTCACTGTAAACACTGAAGTGCGTATTGGGAATGAGGTGTTGATGACGTGAGTTACATTAAGAACCTCTCTCAAAGGTAGATAATCCTCGCGAACCTCTCTCAAAGGGAGATAATCCTCGCAAACCTCTCTCAAAGGTAGATAATCCTCGCTAAGTTGTGCAACACATCTCCATATTTAGAACAAGCTCTGAAGAAGCGTATCAACTATTTGTCATGAATGCTACTCAGAAAGGAAACCTGCTGATTTAAGAAAAGTGCAAAGAATTCAGAAAATAACAAAATCGTTTAATAAACGTGTCTTTTTTTATTTACAATCAATTACATCAAACAAGCATAAACATACTTTTATGAAAAGTGTGTTGTCAGAGTCTCTACAATGCCAACAATCCTTTATGGTAGATCATTGGTTTGTCTTTATTAACAACAAGATAATGTCAATTATGCCAGGATTTAAAATTAGGGTTTCAGTTTCTAAGGGACTCTTTAACTCTTCCGTAGAGCAGCTCCGGCCCACAGTCCGTACCGGATGCCCTAACTTAGCTCACCCCGCACATATAACAAAAACTCGGATTATCAATTATTTGAAATGTAACTGCTGCAAGAAATAAACAGATAGCCATGAAACAATGTTGTTATTGTTTCATGTTGTTTTCCATAGATGCCCACGTTTTCATTTTCGCGGCATTATGACTTACTGGCAGCTAATTATAACCGAGAAATGAACATTTGTCCGGTAACGAATGGTACGATCCATTGTATTCCAAACAGCGTCGTAGAGGGTGTCCGAATGGGGAGTTATTTTGGTTACGAAATCGTTTAGTTTTTATAAATAAAAGTAGGTTTTATCATGAATTGTTTCAAATATCCATAACTACTCCAAAAAGTCTAAAGAAATATTTGCTGATGAATTTACTAGTGTTTGTATCGAATTCAGTCACAGCCATTTTGTTAATATTGGAGACCACAAAACGCAGCATCGAAAACAATAGGTCACATGAGGATAAATGTGTACTCTGCACCTGTCAAATTTGTCTTGCCAGCTGATGAGGGCTGATTTTGGCGACAATTAATTGGATTACAAGACTCCCGTGTGCTTTAAACATAAGCTAAACATAAGACTGGTAACACCAAAGTCTCTTGTCGTGTATACACGACGACGGGGATGAGACGGTATACTCTTTTGTTGTCTGTACACGACAACGGGGACCAGGATGACATATTGTTGTCGTGTGTACCCGACAACAGGGACCAGGATGACATATTGTTGTCGGGTGTACACGACAACGGGGACCAGGATGACATTTTGTTGTCGTGTGTACACGACAACAGGGACCAGGCTGACATATTGTTGTCGTGTGTACACGACAACAGGGCCCAGGATGCCATATTGTTGTCGTGTGTACACGACAACAGGGAACAGGATGACATATTGTTGTCGTGTGTACACGAAAACAGGGACCAGGATGACATATTGTTGTCGGGTGTACACGACAACGGGGACCAGGATGACATACTGTTGTCGTGTGTACACGACAACAGGGACCGGGATGACATATTGTTGTCGTGTGTACACGCCAACGGGGACCAGGATGACATATTGTTGTAGTGTGTACACGACAACGGGGACCAGGATGACATTTTGTTGTCGTGTGTACACGACAACAGGGAACAGGATGACATATTGTTGTCGTGTGTACAGGACAACAGGGACCAGGATGACATATTGTTGTCGTGTGTACATGACAACGATACGGAGAGATCAGTGGGATAGGGACTCCCTGAAATTCTCCTCTTATGAAATAAGGCATGTTTACATATACTCTTTATCTAGAAACACTGCTCCTTTAATATTAAGCAGGATCGTTTGTCCAGATCATTGTTGTTATAAAGGGGAAAACAGAGATATCTGTAGGAAAGGATCAGGATAAAGGAAAAAAGGACTTGGCGAAAACTGAGGTCGCAAATAAAACGAGAGGCATTATTTCGAGGTTTTCACTAGTGGACGGTTTTAATTACACCTGCATGCACCTGCCGGACAGTTTCCTTTCTGGCAATTGTCAAGGCACCACTGATCAAGGGCGGGAACTCCTGCCCACAGGTTTACAGCGCGACACCTGGTGATTGTATGGCCACCTGTCTGTCCGCCCATCTGTCCGTTCTGGCCATTCGTCTGTCCGATTGGCTGTCCAAAGAAAATACCAGAAATGGGTCGGTTAGTATGGACTGGAACAGGAAGCGTGGGCCTGGGGGTGTATACTACGGGTCTTTGGGTGTGAACCGGACCGGATGTTGCTGGTCTTTGGGTGTGAGCCGGACCGGATGTTGCTGGTCGAGACGTGATCTGCGGCTGTACGGGGCCATTACCCCCGGCCGATATCGAGATGTCGGAACAGCCATAGAACATCTCCTGTAGCCCGCAGCCGATGCAATACGTACCATTAGGAGCATAGCCGTAGCTGTTTCCTGTCAATGAGTACAAATCAGCGTGAAAACCAGTAGACAAACATGTGCAGCGTGTATTTTTGTATGCTGCAGTGTTTATTATATTTTGCAGTTTTCTTTTGGTTTGCAGTTTGAGTTACGGTTTCTTGATACTTCGATAATCTCTCTTTTTATATGTAAAGAAATTCTGCGAGATTAACTTAGATTTTGCGATGATATAAGCGTTATTGTTTTCAGCAGGGACTTGAAAACCTGACGTACATGTATATGATACGCAAGATATCGATTGAAAGTTTAATGGCGTAAGAGCGTCCAAGCTCAGGAGAAAATCACTAAATGGAAATAACAGAAAGGTAAAAAGTTGGAATATCAGATGTTTACGTGTTTACAATATGCAAAAAACTTGATAAATTCAAGACAAACGAAACACAATGATGAAAATCACAAATGCATACAGACATATCTCGAATTATAAAGTTTTTAACTATTTCACTTTTATCTGTTTGATTTTTGTGTTTGCCGATTGTATATTATTCATAATTGTAATATGGATAGTGAGATCAAACAGAGGATTAAAATAACGAAAACCCGTAGTGGTAGGAACGGACAAAAACGCTCTGAGGAGTCTCTGGCTTAAGATTTGCTAATAAACAGAATAAACAAAAATGAAATGACGTGACGTCACGAGTCTATTGTGAAAGGCACAAATGGGGTGATGTTTTACTCAATTGCCGAACAGTGTTATTTTGCATAATAAGTCGCAAAACATATTTTAATTAACCGTTAAGTTTTACTAGATACATCTGTCATTAAGAAAATTATCATAATTTGTTCTGAAGAAAATCTTACACTTTAACAAGGTATAACTTCTAATGATGACACTATAACGGGAATAAGTAGATATTTAGTGACACTATAAGGAGGATTATGTGTATAATGATGACATCATAACGGGAATAAGTGGATATTTAGTGACACTATAAGGAGGTTTATGTGTATAATGATGACATCATAACGGGAATAAGTGGATATTTAGTGACACTATAAGGAGGTTTATGTGTATAATGATGACATCATAACAGGAATAATTGGATATTTAGTGACACTATAAGGAGGTTTATGTGTATAATGATGACATCATAACAGGAATAATTGGATATTTAGTGACACTATAAGGAGGTTTATGTGTATAATGATGACATCATAACAGGAATAATTGGATATTTAGTGACACTATAAGGAGGTTTATGTGTATAATGATGACATCATAACAGGAATAAGTGGATATTTAGTGACACTATAAGGAGGTTTATGTGTATAATGATGACATCATAACAGGAATAAGTGGATATTTAGTGACACTATAAGGAGGTTTATGTGTATAATGATGACATCATAACAGGAATAAGTGGATATTTAGTGACACTATAAGGAGGTTTATGTGTATAATGATGACATCATAACAGGAATAAGTGGATATTTAGTGACACTATAAGGAGGTTTATGTGTATAATGATGACATCATAACAGGAATAAGTGGATATTTAGTGACACTATAAGGAGGTTTATGTGTATAATGATGACATCATAACAGGAATAAGTGGATATTTAGTGACACTATAAGGAGGTTTATGTGTATAATGATGACATCATAACAGGAATAAGTGGATATTTAGTGACACTATAAGGAGGTTTATGTGTATAATGATGACATCATAACAGGAATAAGTGGATATTTAGTGACACTATAAGGAGGTTTATGTGTATAATGATGACATCATAACAGGAATAAGTGGATATTTAGTGACACTATAAGGAGGTTTATGTGTATAATGATGACATCATAACAGGAATAAGTGGATATTTAGTGACACTATAAGGAGGTTTATGTGTATAATGATGACATCATAACAGGAATAAGTGGATATTTAGTGACACTATAAGGAGGTTTATGTGTATAATGATGACATCATAACAGGAATAAGTGGATATTTAGTGACACTATAAGGAGGTTTATGTGTATAATGATGACATCATAACAGGAATAAGTGGATATTTAGTGACACTATAAGGAGGTTTATGTGTATAATGATGACATCATAACAGGAATAAGTGGATATTTAGTGACACTATAAGGAGGTTTATGTGTATAATGATGACATCATAACAGGAATAAGTGGATATTTAGTGACACTATAAGGAGGTTTATGTGTATAATGATGACATCATAACAGGAATAAGTGGATATTTAGTGACACTATAAGGAGGTTTATGTGTATAATGATGACATCATAACAGGAATAAGTGGATATTTAGTGACACTATAAGGAGGTTTATGTGTATAATGATGACATCATAACAGGAATAAGTGGATATTTAGTGACACTATAAGGAGGTTTATGTGTATAATGATGACATCATAACAGGAATAAGTGGATATTTAGTGACACTATAAGGAGGTTTATGTGTATAATGATGACATCATAACAGGAATAAGTGGATATTTAGTGACACTATAAGGAGGTTTATGTGTATAATGATGACATCATAACAGGAATAAGTGGATATTTAGTGACACTATAAGGAGGTTTATGTGTATAATGATGACATCATAACAGGAATAAGTTGATATTTAGTGACACTATAAGGAGGTTTATGTGTATAATGATGACATCATAACGGGAATAAGAGGATATTTAGTGACATTATAAGGAGGTTTATGTGTATAATGATGACATCATAACAGGAATAAGTTGATATTTAGTGACACTTTCATGAGGTTTATGTTTATAATGATGACATCATAACAGGAATAATTGGATATTTAGTGACATTATAAGGAGGTTTATGTTTATAATGATGACATCATAACGGGAATAAGTGGATATTTAGTGCCACTATAATGAGGTTTATGTGTATAATGATGACAATATAACGGGAATAAGTGGATATTTAGTGACACTATAATGAGGTTTATGTTTATAATGATGATATTATAGCAGAAATAAGTGGATATTTACTGACACTATGAGGAGTTTTGTGTTTATGATTTGATGCTATGACGAGGTTTTGCTACACTTTAACGCGGTTTTAGTGATTGTGTAGTGACACTTTGTCTTATAGAATATCTTGCCTGTTTTATAGCGCCATTGCAGCACACACTGGGAACACGTGAGACCTTCAGGCAGCTTTGCTTTCAGGTTGATTGTACCCCTCCTGCCTCCTAAATAGTACCTAAAATAAACACCAGAAAACAGTTTTGTTAACAATCTTCTTCAGAAAATCTAAAACGGTACTAATACTGCAGCTTGTGAATGTTGGTTCACTGTATTACGGCCGAAAACTGTAACTGTTCGTTGGATTTTTTGTTGTTTTTTTTTTGTTTAAATTATACATAATGAAATTCTTAAAAAGTAAATAAACAACAACAAATAATCAACCGACTAAGTTCTGAATGTTAAAAACATACATCATTCGGAACCTGGAATTCGATTATTTTATTTCCGCTCTAACCAAAAGCTTTTCAACAGCTGGGCAACAGTAGTAGCCTGCACCAATCACGCTGATACAGTGATATCCAATATGCCACAAAGGTTACTATGAAAAGCTACGATTACATTATGTAGTGTTATTTGTGGGACAAGGATCCTTAATGGTATAACTCTAGTACTGAAATATTTTTTATAAGGATATAAGGCTGGAAATATACTGCTTCATTTACTATATTACTGCTATATTTACTATATTACTGCTATCCTTGTCGTGTTTACCTTGTACCGGCGGCATTATCCAATGTAAGGAGATGTTTGTCTAAACATTCCTGTGTGGCGACCTTGTGAACGTCGTTGTTCGGACATAGTCTGAACTCGAAGAAGCCGAAGTGATTGGCTGTGATTTCTACACCAATGTCTATGGTCTGACCAGCCTTGTAATTCCTGCCGATGATGCCAGCAGCGTAACGACCGCCCGCTTCATTGTTACGGGGCCCCTGGAACGGGTCTCCACATATCCCACACTGCTGATGCTGGTAGATATAATTCTGAAATAAAATAATTAATCACGGTTATTTCAAAGTCAAACTCAGGGTTTATAAAATGCAAGAGCACATGGTCTAATGTTCTTTGCAGTTAAAAAGCGTCTCTACTTAAGTCTTACTATTGTTCATACTTTGTGTGATCGACTTTGAGTTCAAATAATTATTTACAAAATGTTACATTTCTTTCATCGCAGTTTTGCTTTGCCAACAAGGGGACAATGGACTTTAATGTGTAAATAACAAAAAATAAAATGTACGTTACGTTAGGCAAATACATAAAGACAAAATATGAACATAAAACAATCTACAATGAACGGCCATTGAGTAGTCGCCAACAAACGAGGACAGTATCTGAACTAGAGGTCGATACATCGTCAACACACAACAAGAAATTTTCATTTCAACAAATTTTATTGACAAAGTTGATACAAGTCAATTGGATGGAATAACAGGCAAAGCCTATATAAATTATCTCCAGCGGTGGCTAAATTAACGGATTCTATTACTTTTATTTGATTTAATTAATACATCAATTTTGAAATAAAAATTATAAAAAAAAATAAATAAAGGGATGTAACTCCTTCTTAATTAACATAACTGAAATACAAATACATTCACACTTCTCACATCACACACAAAACACTTCCACAGGTATTATTTATTTTTATAACATTTAACAATTGTATATAAGCTATATAGCTATCAAATCACACAGATATTGGCAGACATTGACCAGAAGTCCATGAGCAAATATATGCACAGGTCACAGTCGCCAAAACTGTTAAGTTATTGTAGTTTAATATGAAAATAGATAGCTAGTCTATGCGTAATTCAATGTGTAAGATGCAAACTGTAAAACAAGACAGATTGAACAAATCTTAGAACAAACAACACCAAACAAACATGCTCAACTTAAAACTCCTATGTCCGTTGAAGAATACCATTAATACCAAGAAATAATCCAGACAAGGACAGTATCTGAACTAGAGGTCGATACATCGTCAACACACAACAAGAAATAATCCAGACGAGAAATAATCCAGACAAGAAATAATCCAGACAAGAAATAATCCAGACAAGATACAAATTAACAGATCCTATGGAGACACCATGCAAAGAAAGCTTTTCATACACACCCGAACACCGCTGTCACATATTCCTGTAAACTTCAGTGGAGCAAGAAGGTCGACACAGACACAATGCACAAGTTTGTGTGTTGTGAAACAGCGTCATGACACACGCTTTGGTGGTGTCACATAGTACACAAAAATAACTTGTTCACGTTAATAGCATATTTTATATTTTGTTGCATTTTTACTTCAAAAATAACACATTGAAACGAAGAGATTCCAAGACAACAAGGATAGAGATCTTGTGTGACATTACCTTATCAAAATCACTTCAAGTTTTGTTTTACAATTTTTACCAATGTCCATTGTGTATGAAGCTTTTACAATTATTTAACTAGCACAGCTTTAAATGTCATTTGACGAGTTGAATCAGTTCAAGTATTTTTTCACAATTTTAACTTTGGTAATACATATATACTATAACTATTTTTTGCCGGAACGTAAAACACATGTTAATATTTAGAATTGGATTATTACTAAATATATATCATATTATCAATATCAATATTTATTAAGTGAAGTGTGTAGTTCAGGTAAACGTGTAAATTGCTTAATTTCATATTCATAATTTTACAGATTGAAAACAAAAACTATAAGACAGGATTTAAAATAATTTTTTTTACATAATACACTGAAATGTTTCCACAGATGAATCAAAAATCTAATTTAAAAGTTTGAATTAACGGGTTTACGAAGGTAGTTTATTTTCATGTGTGCGTAGGCTGGGTGCGTGAGCAGGTAGGCATGTGTGTTAAAACACAATGATTTAGTTGTTTAACAGTTCCATAATCATTCACATTGCATGTATATGAAGACCAGTTTTATTGTGTGGGTGCTAGGGTGTGTCTGGTGATTGTGTCAAACAGGATAAGATATTGCTTGATTATAGACACAAATGACGACCGGTCCTTCCATGGAGCTTGCGATAAAGTAAGTGTTGTTTGTGAATTATTTTTTTTTTAAATAAAAACACATAAAAAAACGTGATAAAATTGATCATGATAAATAACGTCTGTTCAACCAAGATATTAACATTTTATGCATAGCAGACATGCTAGGCAACCATCATCTTTGATATGAAAACAAAATACTGTTATCGTTACTCATATCTAAGTTCAAACACGCGCGAGTGTACTTAATGTCCATGATCTAGTAGATAATTTATATTTGTGTTGCCTTATCACTGGCGAGTTACCTAACGTGGTAAGCACCCTCCAGACAGCTTAGTTATAATGATGGGCGAAAGTGATACCAATCACCACTTCCTTCGTTTCAATGTAATTTATAGATACCAGAGTTGTTTATATTGTAAATATTCTGTTGTTAAAAGATGTACTTATAGTATCAAACGGTGACAAACCCAAGTTGAATTAATTATCTTAGTTTCAAACTTTACACAGTTGGTTCCGTATGTAAAATAGTTTTGTTTCATTTTTTCTATGAGTGACTTGAGAAACATTCAGAAAATAGTGAATGGTATTTTTTATATTATATCCAGCTCAGCAAAAATCATTGCATAATTAGTTGACAACAGATTTATACTCGAGAACAATATCACTACATTCATTGTCTTATCAATGTCGGTAATAATGTTACGTCAAGTTTGATCAACTCAAATATTTATTACACCATGTACACTGTATATGGTTTTAGTCAGTTTATTATATAAAATTTTAATTAGTTCATGCTTTTTATAATAAGAGCTATTTCTTTTCTGTATAATTATAGTGGTTGCCGCTGATATAATTATAGTGGTTGCCGCTGATATAATTATAGTGGTTGCCGCTGATATAATTATAGTGGTTGCCGCTGATATAATTATAGTGGTTGCCGCTGATATAATTATAGTGGTTGCCGCTGATATAATTATAGTGGTTGCCGCTGATATAATTATAGTGGTTGCCGCTGATATAATTATAGTGGTTGCCGCTGATATAATTATAGTGGTTGCCGCTGATATAATTATAGTTAGTTCATATTTATATATATATTATAGTTATTTCTTTTTTATATAAAATGATACCTATTTGTCAAATTGAACGATTGCTTTTTTTGTGTTTTACGTCCTATTAACAGCTATTGTCATTTATTGACGTGCCAGGTTTTGGTGGCGGAGGAAAGTCGGAGTTCAAGTGGGAAAACAACCGACCTACGGCCAGTACCTGGCGACTGGCCCTCGTGGGCCTCGAGCCCGAGACCCAGTCATTAGTAATGTGTGCGTTACTTGTATTAGTCTAGGTGGAACAAATGCTGGTTGATTACTATTTCCCATGATGATGACATAAAAGTGCAATGAATTATAACGTATTAACTGTTGAGTCTATTTATCAAAATACAGAACTCTCACTAACCATTTGCACGTTTGACCGAGACATGGAGGTCCAGCGAACAACTGCCTACAATGAATACATATGAACTTGGACAATGCATTGAAATCCTGTGATTGCTTCAGAAGATACCATCGTGACACTGTCGGAAAATTAGATTGCAAAAGTGTCATTACTGAAATTAAGCTGAACATTAAACCTTAATAAAAGACCAAGGTAGCAAGTATAAAAGGGATTTTTCATCATAACCCCTTCATTCTTTCAAATAATATCGTCAAAACAAATCCTTACCGCATACTGTCACGACAAAGAAATCCCAATATATCAGCTCTGTAGCGGACAAAAACACTTCAGTAGGCTTACATTATGACATGACATAGGCAATACATAAAATGTCACAGAACCTTACAATATCACTAGATTCTTTGAATTCTTGCCTGATTTTAAAACGATCATCAAAGTTATGAAGCAATCCATCGTTTCTAATGGTATGAGTGGAAAGCAACAGCAATGTGGTTTTTAGCCGAATGTGTATATCTAATATTCACAAAAATGAATACACAAAATAATTGCACGTGCTTGTATTGGAAGAAAACAAGCCAATCGTTGGTTTTTGTTTTTCCACAGTGTTTGCTTTGAAGTTCAAGTGTGACGTTACAAGTACTCGTGCTGAAGTGCTCTCGGTGGACATCGTTAAATGGGTTTAAACCATATGTTGATAACTCACATACATGACTATTGCCTTTGTTTATATTTTTTTAACGGGTTGTTTGTCTTAAAACACGTGACTCACCTGATAAAAAACTTCATGCTAACATGAAACATAAACTCATTGTACTTACATAATCTGGTATTTTTATATATAAATATACAAGAAAGGCGTGAACAAATTCCTAAATTGCTCGAACTAGGGAAGATATGAACAAAGGACAGACCTACATGGAGACCCTAAAAGGATTTAAAGGATAATAAGACCAGGTGTTCCGGAAACGTAAGCGTCTTTTGCTTCATTTAGAACACGCGCCAAATTCATGTCAAATCTGATTAGTGTAATGTTCTTAATTGTTGTAGTGTTAACGATATCTACTCACGCTGGGTCCTGGCTGAGAGCAAAACTGTGCCGCTTTTTTTCCAATATGATATCACTTAAAATATTCATTGAAATATCAGAATTACATCTTTACTAGCAAAAATAACAAAATCGCTTATCGCCAAAAATGTTATTTCTGACAAACATCAGTGGGGACACATTTCAAAGCTCTTCCGCTTTAAACAACGGTTAACACTGTGTTCATGTCTCTATGACAAAGTAAAACTCCCCTTTAATAAGGTTGTTGAAATTATTTTTCATATTCTTATTTATGTATTTATTTCCGTAATTATTTCCTTATCATTATTTTATATTTCAAACCAACCTAAACATGTTAAGGTATGGAGATGATTTTAATGTACGTGGCGACACATCTTCGCAACAAAACTTCATCTGTATTACTTTTGAATGTTTGTTTATATTATCAAACAACATATCATAAAATTAAAGTGACTATCATGAAGTTTCAAATGTCATCATCATCATACAATATGCTGTGAACAGTATATTTGTGATAAATAATAAAGAAGTTGTCTAGGGTCGTCTTGTCTCGGACAAGAATAATCGGAATGTTTGTTTTTATATCAAAAATGTGAATTCATACTTATTTGTTAATATATATGTACGACGAATACTGATACGTGATCGAATATTTTGAACAGTATGTACATTATTTAAAGGCGATTCTAGACGCCCATGTACATTGTATGTATATATACATGTATAGGTCAAAGAAGTAATATAGACGGTAAAATCCCATATAACACTGGATCCTAATGGAGGTATGTCCGTAGGATACGAATTACTTAAAATATTTTATGGGGCAAAGAAGCCGAAGGCAGCAATTAAGCTGAGAGCATCGCGGACAAGGAACGCTGATGTAGAGGACCTATTTTTGCGCAAGGAATTATTCCTCCTGCACTCACTTATTTGATAATTACTTGCATAATTCCTGCAAACCAAAAGAGGCACATGCATTATTCCTGCAAACCAAAAGAGGCGACTAAGTGTGAATCCCCTGCTGTGACTGTTAGATCCATCGCAGTATTGAGAGGCGACTAATGAGACATTCCGTAGCAAATTGGAGATTTTTCACATTTACCGGGCCAGATTTCCACAGATGCATCTTGCGCAAAAATAGGTCCTCTACATCAGCGTTCCTTGTCCGCGATGCTCTCAGCTTATGTACATGTAATTGTTCTGTTTCATTGTGTCTTGAAAAAGGAACGGATCGCTTCGAAAATTTGACAACCTAAACTTGTCCACACTGTTGGAATTACTTTTTGCCCCATAAATACATGTATATATATATGTTAATGTCATAAAATTTTGGAAAATATAATAAAAAATAAAAAATAAGAAGTTGTCTAGATTTTTTTTGACAATTCCCAGCTAAGCCTTTTGTATTTGTAGGCTACGTTCTAACACCTTTTCTGGCAGTGATATTACAGGTGCCTTATGTCCACTTCATGTATGATTTTACTCTTGTGTTTTCTTTGTAAACATGATTGATTCTTACTTCTTTCAACCCAACAAAATATAAATCACAATGAACGGGGAATACTAAAGCCACATCGGTAACAACAGCTATGTAAGTTAAGAAGCAAAATTAAAACTCATTTCTGATTGAATGGTAATTTTTACTTGTTATGAAACTAAACAAATGATATTACAAAATAAATTTCAAAGATTTCATTTGACTTTTAATGCTAAGATAATAAATGATGAAAATTGTTTTCCTCCTTTGTCGTATACGGTTAAAAAACACATACATTTGTTTGCACGAACCGCTCCGCGAATTTGTGTAAAGTTTTGTTAGTATATACCAGATGGAATAAGTAGTTTTACGCTCCAACTCTTCTGGCTCATCAGTAGTAACATGTACGACCGGTTTGGATTTCAATTTTTGCGATCCCTAGAATCAGTAATTAATCCTAGAAGGACGCTGTATGGTGCGGTGAAATGAATTGTGTATTCTGTATCACCTGTGTGTTACGTTATCTGTCAATGATGGCTATCGTTACAAAGGAGTGTAAGGGTTATAGCGCCTAGATAAAAGTCATTACTCAATTGATGATACAGATGACATATTGGATACTTACGATTCGCCCGCCACAGAAGAGTTGGTTATCGTTGTAGTTCACTAGGGCGTTTGGAAATTCTCGTATTCCTCCTCGCATTGACCTCCACATGCTTGACCGTGAGGGGGGCTCCAACAGGCGGCCATGGCCTTCCGCGAGCTCACAGCACAACGCCACCACAACAAACCCCACCACAAAACCAAACATTATCTCCTGTTACAAATCACCAAAATATCTTCAATTTAAAATATCACAGAATGTCTTTTTTCTTATACAGTTTTGCCAAAGAACAACCACCTCTACACACACAGATGCTACCTAAGACAGTCCGAAAGTTTTCTGGTTTTATATATCTCCGTCACAGACCGGCTCGGTTCAATACAGTCCCTGTCTTATCTTATTGGATAAAAATCAATGCGACCGAGGTTAACTATAGGTAGGGTCAGAGACAATGTTCTACTTATCTTACCGACCACACGAGTTCCTCACTTTACGTAGACTTAACCCTGTAGCCGTGTACCTTAGGTACCAATGATAGACGGGGTGTAATATAACAGCATCTATTTATTTAATCATGAGGTATAATCGATGAAGATGTTCGCCTTTACATAAACTAAATCAGGATTTGGGAGTGTTTAAGGGTAACTACGTCAGGTAATATCAATACTTGTTTATTCCGTTTGACCAATCATCGTTTCCGAATTGTGCGCTTTAAAAGTAATGAGTAGACTGCGGTTTCTACCATCAGACAGGGTTACACTTTACCATCTAAAATATGTTTGAATTAATATCATTTATTTCGCGTCATGGTACTGTACGTCATATGATAGATAAAATGCCAATTAATCTGTAAATGAATGTCAGTTTGTTTGTATAGAATTACTAGCTAAGCCAATCGGAGATAAACAGTTTGAGCAACGTGTAGGTTTCTGACACCTGCATTAAGAATATTCATATAGAATGTAGGGGTTCAATATTGTTCCCTGGAAGAAAGAGGGACATTTTTGTATTACGTTTTTCCAACATCTTTGAGTGAAATATCAGCAACATCTTATAATGAAAGTTTGGAGTCGGTACAAGTTGATAAATTAAAAATAAAGGGAAATACTTGTTTTGCACTTTGAGTTTGTTAATGTGGAATGCATTTACGGATGTTTTGATCAATATAATGTTTTACATCAAAAGCAACTTAATACGATTAAAATGGAGACACAAATCAAGTTTAAGTGATTAATCTAGCGTCAAAAAAGGTAAAAGGTTTGGCCAGCGCAACAAATACAAATTTTCAAATTGTTCAGCCGCAAAAATGGTCATTTTTCTAAAATTCTTTTTAAAACTATTTTACAAACAATAGGCAGCTAGTTTGTTTTACACATTCTTTTCAGATACTTTTTTTTCAAATATTCATAATATGTTGATTTCTATGAACAAAAAAATACACGAGATCAAAAAGAGATTTAAACTTGTTTAACCCCTGGAAGAGTACTTCCTTAAGTTTGAAAATAATTATTTTATTTTTTCTATTTTCAAATACATTTAAGGAATTTCCAGCCGGAAACACACTGAATATAAAAATAATGAGTTCTTTCTCTGCGTGGAATATATTTAAGATAGATACCTTTCTATTGAAAATACTAGGAATTCATTTGCTTAACACGGAAATATCGTCAAACGAAATATATAATCTAAGCCTGAATATTTGCATTGTCAAGTAATTTTTATAGAAAAAAATGAAGCAGTTCCATAATCAAAAGAATAATTAAAACATCATTGGTATCTTACTGTTCATGTAACATGTACCCAATAATAAAACATGTACCCAATAATTAAAGACTGAAAACATGTACCCAATAATTAAAGACTGAAAACATGTACCCAATAATTAAAGACTGAAAACATGTACCCAATAATTAAACATGTACCCAATAATTAAACATGTACCCAATAATTAAAGACTGAAAACATGTACCCAATAATTAAA